GCTACAGGAAAACAAAGTGCATTTTATTATTTTATTGTATTTTATGGATAGAGGAAACTTAAATTCATAATTACTTGGTTTTGGGACAGCTGTTTTTTCTGCTGTCTTTGGCAGTTTGATCCTTACCTCTCATCTCTCAGTTTGTCCAAGTCAAATAACCTTCTGTGTGTTCAGTGTTGCTGCTCGTGGCCTTTCCAGTCATCCCTGTGCAGAGCCGTGATCCCCAGCTCCTCTTTACTTCTCCCCTCCTCGTTCAGGCTCTTGTGGGTTTCCAGCCTAGGCTTCTCCTAGTTTACATGTGCATTAATGGCTTTAGTCGCCCCTCGTTGTTTGACCTGTCCTTGGCTGCTCAGCCTTTGTGATGTGCGAATGGGTTGATTTGGACTCGCAGGAGCGCACAGTGCATTCCTACAAGGAATGACAAAAGCCAAGATCCCTCAAAGGGGAAGAGAGGCAGCTGGGGAGGAGATCTGTTGGAGATCTAGAAAATCGTGAATGTCGTGGAGAGCGATGGATTGTTCCGTGTCTCTCAGCAGAACTAGGAGGCTTGTGAATCTTGAGGGGAGGAGGGAGGTGCAGAAAATCCAGGGAGGGACTTGTTGAGCTGTGGGTTTCACACTCAGGAATTCTTGCTGCGGAGTGTTGTGGATGTCACAAGTTTACGGGCAGTAAAGGGACAAACGCACAGGCTTGTGGGGGGAAAAGCTGTTGATGGTTACTGAATACAGAGGATCACTTCGGCTCAGGAGGTCTTGGCGCTGTGAACTTCTGGAGCTTGGAAGGAGGTTCTTGGGAAGGCTCTCTGTGCTTGCCCCCTCCTTCCATTCTTCCCTGCGCATCTGCTTTGGGTTCCTTTTGGAGACATGGTGCCACCTTGGCAAGCTGGATGTGGCCCAGCAGCATGATGGTGTTCTCTCAGTAGAACTTTGGAATACAATAATTAAGGCTTTTAAACATGACCAGGCATGTTGTTTCTTCTAAATCCCTCTTTAGCATTTTATCTGAGTTCTTTTTATGACTCACGTCCGACCAACTTGATCTGGGTTGCTGTTATGGAAATCTTGAGGTCCAAAGCTGGCGTTTTGTGGATGAGTGAGAACTTTCTTCTGTTGACAGTGTAAACTACTGGCAGTTTTAGATGATGTTGTTGCTCTCCTTTTTGTAGCAATGGAGTGCCTGGTTCCTGTAGCCATGGATTTAGGACTTCTTCAGCATAGGGTGATCCTATCGTGTGTGCCACGCGGTGAGCACACACCGAAACGGTAGCCTAGGCTGAAGAGAGAGCACAGCAATGCCGTGCGGATCTCCCAGAGAGGCACTGGCCTGCGTGTGCCGCCGAGCCCGAGCATTGGCGCTCTGTCTGAAGAATGCCGTAGGTACCGAGTGGTTAGAAGCAGCTCATCACGAAATGTGAGGGACAAAAAACCCACCTTGTAAGTCCCTGTTTTAACATGTCGTGTGACACTGGAGAGTCCCCACTGCGTTCAGAGTGTCCTCTGTTGGGACACAAATACATTTGAGTGGTTTTTTGACACGTATGTCCATCGCGAGGTGAGCACCCCTCCTGAGAATTTCTGACTGCCTTGTCATTTCCATCCACGTGTGTTTCTTGGCACTTTTCTCGCACATTGTGCTAAAATATTAAAAAAAAACCCCAAACTAAACCACAAAACAACACACAACCAGCCAGCCAAACAAACAACCCACCCCCCCAAAATCCCCCCCAAAAAACCAAACCAAACACCCCCACCCCTTCAAACAAACCAGCCCAACCAAAGAAACCAGTGCAGAACACGCTGCAGTTTACAGCACTCGACATCCCAAACAAGAAAAGTAATTTGCATCTGTAGCACAATTGTAGTTCTTCTGGTTTTAGTTCATTCCTTGAGACAGATTTAAAGTGCAAAGGTGAATATAGACGTTCCATCTTCCTTTTTCCCAGCTTCGGCAGTGAAGGATCCTTTTAGATCCAGTTGTTCAGGCTTTGAAAATGGGTTTGTCAGTTATTTGCATGGATCTCCTATGACTAATGTAATTTCTACAACTTTTCCAAGTATTTGCCAGTTTCTCTCTTCCCTCTCCGCTCTGGCTTTAGAGTGGCTAACTCTTGGGCCCAGAAAGACCATTTCCTAGATGTTTGTCCCCTCACAGATAATAGCAGCAAAGACTCAGCAAGGAGAGCTTGTGAACCTAAATAGTAACATTTGAATTTTATTTTTTTTTGTGAGCAGGTACAGCGTTGTTGAGCTGTTTATGAAAATTTCAAAACTTTTTCTCCCTTCAAGGAAGTCAAGAGACTTGGAGGAGGTCCTGAGGCAACATTCCTTAGGACATCATTTTCCTGAGACCATATCTGAAAAATCTGTCCAAGATAATTCCCAAGTTATGGGTTAATGGGGCTTTGTGATGTGTTCCTGCAGCACTTGGTAAATCATGGAGAGACCAGTTGACTTACTCAGGTCTCATTCCAAGGACGTTGCTGAACAGATAATTCACTCGCCTTGCGGAGAGCATGACGGATAATGCTAGCTCCTTCGGGGTTTTGAAAGCCTACGTCTTGGTCAGTCCAACCCAACTCTGAAGCTCACATCCTGACCCCGGCAAGGCAATAAAGTGTCACGGTAGTATCGTGACTTTACATGCAGATGTTACCAGACACCAGCAAAATTAATCAGAGCCCTGATTATAGGGTATTAGTCTCGTCCCCTGCTTCGTCTCTGCCCGTGGTCCTTTCCTCGGCCCCGTCCCTGCTCCCAGCCCACCTCCCGGGGGGCGCTGGCATTGCCACGTGCTTTTCCTCGCTGCTTGGTGGCACGTCTCTGTGCCTCTGAAAGCACCGGAGGGGACCTATCTCGTGGGCTTAGGGGGAGTCGGGGGCTCCGGCAGGTACTTGCTGGGAGAAGTGACGGTTCCGGTGTCTCTAGTATCACTCTGTCTTGCCACTGTGAAGTGAGCTGAATTCCCACGGCCTGGTTCCAACTTTGCAGGAAAAGGAGATTGGCTTGGGAGCAGGGCTTGGGAAGGTGGGATGAGGGACACACGCACCCAAAGCCCAAGAATGAGATGGTCTAATGTTGACGTGATTATTTCTTTGGTGTTGCAGAAGATCCAAGTGGTATTGTCCCTTCTGTCTTGATCAAGTAGACTCTGCTGAAAACAATTTAAAAGATCAAATAACTGGTCTACCCCTTGGAGTCCACCTGCTGTGGAATGTAGAGAGGCACTGGCACTTGGCATAAAGCTGCTTACTGGTCAGTAACTGGTGTCTTTCGAGGTGACGTGCATATTTGATGTGACGAGGAAGTGAAGAGAACAATAGTCAGCTCCAAAAACCCTTCAGCCTGGGGCAGCGTGTGAGGACAGCTGGAAGTTGGGGGCGAACAAAACGAGTCGCACGGGCGAGGTTTCGCAGTGCCCAGCTCTGAACGCCTGCTTCGGGCCCCGGGGAAGTACAGCTCGAGGTAACGCGTTGTGAAGAACCTTGGCTGAGAAGATAAGACCCTTCGTTTGCATATATTTGTTTAATTTAATAAAGCGAATTTATTTTAGGAAGCTGAAAAAAAGAGAACCTTTTATATTCAGCAAAAATGCCATTGAGTTTTTTTTCCTTTAAAAAAACCCAGCAACAAAATAGAGAAGCATGTTGGTTCTGAGTCTGTGGTTTTCTAAAGGAGGAAAAAATAAGGACATAAAATATATTTGCAGATCACTTTATACCAGCATAGGCTTATTTTCCTTTTATGAACAGTTAAGGAAAAAGCTTTTGGTGGCTTTCGGGATGAATGTGTTGCGAGATCTTCACCAGAGAATAATTAACAGGCGATGGACAACTGCTGAGGGAAACTGTTAATCAGAGAGTGTATATTGAGTGCCAAGACATGACTTTCTTTTTTCCTTGGTTGACATTTAAGCCTGATGAAATCTGTCCTGCCATGTTGCATGAGGAGGAGCTGACTAACTCCCTTAGAGCTGGATTCCGGTGTAATTGTGGAATAATCGTTTGGTATTTTTGCCCTTTTTTTTTTTTTAAGACACTTAAAAAGCGTATTTTGTGAGTTGGTGAATCTGGTAACAAAAGAATAATATAATATTGTGGTTTTAAGTGAAATTTTACACTGATACTGAATTAAGTTGGTTTTGTGGGCTTGCTTGCTTTTGTTTGTTTTTTTGTTTTTTTTTTTTCCCCTGGAGTTGACTGAAATGTAGCGTCTGTCTTTCAGGACTCTGTAGTGAAGTAAAGCCGCAAGAGGTACTACCTTGTCCCCAGGCCTTGGGGTGTGGGTTCCGCTATGTTGCTGTCACTTCTTTCATCTCCTTTCCTCAGACAGGCAGCCCTGTGTGACCAAACTATACGGGGGTTTGGTTTTCTTTCCCCTTTAATTATGCTTGAGATCTTTACTTCCCTGACAAATACCATTTGACCTTGGGCATCAGGTTTCAAAGTTACACGAAGTTTTGATTAAAGACGACACAACCCCCTGCCCACGAGCCAACATCCCCGCAGGAGCCTGGGCAGGGGAGAGGAGCGTCGGTGAGCTCTGCCAGCCGGGAGAGGAGCGTACGGGGTGTGCTTGCTCCGTTCGAGGACCGGTCTCCAGCGGGCAAACCCGTAGGGCTCTGCGTTTCAGTGGCTCAGCTGCTCACGGAGAGAGCTGGCTTGCTTTGTGTTTTGCAAACAAACCCCCTTTGAACAGAAAGGAATTCGTTACATGATATTGCTGTGTGCATGCATGCAGCTTGGAGTTTTGCGAACTTAAAATGTTTAGAATTCGTGTTTCCTGTACTGTGCTCCACTCTGAAAGGTATTAACGAGGCTGAAGTGTATCTCTGTTACGGAATACGACTGTTATGAAGAGATGTCTGTCTTCCTGCTGGTCGTTTTGTGTACCAAATGTAATCGAACTGTTTCAGTTGAGGGATAAAATGATGTTGTTCACACTAAGTTGCTCTTGTAACAGGAATTCTAGCACAAACAGTGTTTGCCGTTTTTTGTCTTCAGAATGATTGAGGAGAGTGGGAAGAGGAGGAGGACAATGGCAGAGAAGAGACAGCTGTTCATGGAAATGAGTAAGTAAGAAATGTGAAGACATAATGTCATTTATTCTTTACTGAGAGCTTCGCTGTGATGGTTTTACCAGATCATTTACATCTTGTTTCCACAAGACCATTGCATCATCTAGTGAAAAGCATCCTGGGTGCTCGTCAGGAGGAGAATACGAGAGGTGGGTCCCAGCTGCCTAAAAGGTCATTAATTTCTAGGTTTTGTGCAGGTCCTTTTCTGAGGAACACTCACGTTTCTCATATATGGCAGTATTGAAAGTTTGTGGACAACTATTAAAATAAATGGCAACAGACAGATCACCTTTTACCTTAAAAAAAAAATAATTAAAAAATTGCCTCACGATGCTATTGTGACTTGAAAAGAAACAGTTTGAGGGTTTGGGGAGGTGGTTTTTTTTTGTACAGCACCATTCCCTGGAAGAGAGGCTGTCCTTGTTGCTAGAAATCAGACGTCTGTCCTGAGTGAATACGATTTAAAGGAATGAGACAGGGGCTTTTAAGAAGCTGTGTGCAGTTAGAAGTAAAAGATTGTGTGTTTGCATGACATCGTGTTATTTTACTTTGCTATGGGAACACAGGGCTGAATGACGTTCCTAGGTTGGGCAAGCGTGTCCCGTGAGCCCCGTGACAGGCTGGTGAAGGTCTCAAAACAATAGTGCATCGTGCCGTTTCGGAGGAATTCGAAGTCATGTGCTTACTGTGGTTATAAGCATCTTGTAATTTCAGCAGTTTCATTCCTGGCTAATTTACATCTGCTTCCCCTCATGTGAGACCACTCTTGGACAGTATTTCTCCCCACATCCCAGCTTGCTTTGCGTTTGGGTTGAGAGTCACGTCCCTTTTTGGCTTGTTCAGCATGTGGCACAGGCTGACTCCTGCGGTCTCGCTGCTGTACACCTCCTCCCCTGTTCTTCTCTGCCTCTCTTCGGGTTTACGTGAGCGAAGGTGACTGCATGGTGCTGATATCCTGAGGAAATCTCATCAGAAGCTTTTAGAGGGACAACGGTGCTGCTGCGCTAGGAGTGCTGTGACTGGAGCGTCAGCGTTCCGTTTGTCCCATCGCTTTGAAGCGGTGTAGTTGTCTTGTGAGCATTTAGTACGGGAGTTGGCTTGCTAGCTTTTAGCTTTGCCTAAGTTGTTAAAAATATTCAGATTTCTTCTGATTATCTCTATACGAGGTGTCTCCTTTTGCCGCGGTGGCTCTCGCTGTTCGTTATCAGTGAAAGCGCTGGCGTACAGACGTTCCCAGCTGCCCCGCTCTGTAGGCTCTTCAGCATATCAGGATGAGAACTCGAAGGTCTCCAAGCTTCACCTGTCCTGTGGTGGAATATTTCCCTGTAAAGTGAACACATAAATGTTTTCCTTTCTAGGCGAGCTCCACACGCAGGGTGGATGTACCCCGTGGTGCTGTCAGTGACCATTCGTTGTTGCTCAGCACACAAATGTGCTGAAGCGTTTGGGTAACAGCTCGTGTGAGATGAGAGCAGACCTTGGCCCTCACCCGCGCTGGCCGTGCCACCCACGGGTGTGCGTGCTGGTTTGGTTGTATTTACGGAGCTGTCTGCCCAGCAAGAACCCCGTGCAAGCCGTCCCAACTTCCTTGAGCTGTAGAACACCTGCAGAGTTTATCTTACGGAAGGGTGCAAAGACGTTGGAGCCAGACTTTTCTCAGCCCGGCGGCAGGGTGCAAGGCAATGGGCACAAACGGCGTCACAGCAAATTCCGTCTGAATGTGAGGAAAAACATTTTTACTGTGAGGATGGTTGAGCCGCGGGAGAGGTTGCTGAGCAAAGCTGCGGAGTCTCCGTCCTTGCGGGGGCTCACAAGTCGACTGAACGCTGTCTTGGGCGAGTTGCTGTAGCTGACCCTGCTTGGGCGGGGAGGTGGGGCCCGGTGATGTCCAGCAGCTCCTTCCAGCCTCCACCGCTCTGTGCTTCTGAGCTATATCGGTAGTCTGGAGAACGCGCCCCGTTTTCTCTTCAGATCGTTTAGAAGAGTGACCTTGTTGAAGCTGTTGTGGTAATGTGGCACAGGAAGGCAAGAACAGAAAATGGACGACTTTTTTTTTTCATGAAGCTGTTAAATGACCCGTTTTATATATATAAACTATACAGACATGTATCTTTTCCTTACATTTATATACATGTATAGACACAGCATTTTGTGACGACTCACGGTCTGTGGAAGTGTGTTCTGTGGTTTGAAAGACAGAAGCCTGCACCCTGATTGAGAGTGTTGAAAGAATATTGCATAGAAAATACAAAATGAGCTATTTTGTTGTAGCCTTGGATCTGAACGCTCCAGCTTACGTTACCTGGCCAAGAACTTTCCTGAAATATATCAGGGACTAGTTTTCTAAAGATGATACTGTGAAATAATCCCCTGAAGTTTGTGGCACCGTGCTGTCAGGCAGAACATCCTCAGGTGTCGGCAAGTCTAGCGCCACGCTTAGGCAAGCTGTCATGGGGAGCCTTGGACTGGGAGATTGGTCGGCTCCTCGCTGGCCTTGTGCGAGTCTTTTCACCTCTTGTTCTCCATCAGTGGTGAAGAGAGTCGGTCCTTGTGTGTCGCTTTCAAGACGCAGTGCCTGGATCTCCAGGAACGAGCAGGTGCTTTGGCATGGTGTTTGCGAAATTGTAATGAACTCTCTAAAAGACAAGAACATTTCCTTAAATTTGCAGCGGTGAGTCAGCGGGGCGTGCACAAAGGTGATTCAAATGAGGTATTTGCAAGTTGCTTTCTGAATTCAGAACGTAGGAGGGAATAAGCGATCGCCTTTGAGCAAGACCCCCCGGTACAGCAATCGGATACCTTCTTCGGGGGGATGTGGGCTTGTTTTTTCTGGGTTTGTTTTGAAGTGTCTTGTAGAAGCTTGGATTCCATAAGTCAGTTATCCCCATTTCTCCGTTCTTTACTCATCCAGGCTCTGGCTTTTGAGAGAATTATGAAAAGATCCTGCTTTTACGCACTCCCGTGAGAACACGAGAGGCACAGGAGCCACGCGCACCCATGCCGCTGCCCCCGTGCAGCTGCGCTGTTTCAGGCGACACCTTAGAACTCTATTGATTATAGGACGGAGCTGCTAATGCTGTTGAAATGGGAGCCATTTGAAAGGCATTTTGCTTTACGATTAACGTGATTTTCAACACTAGTTGGCTGCTTCCAAATTAAAATGGTCAGTACGGGCCTTTAAACCGGTATTGTTTAAAGATCATCCCCCTGTCGCTGATCCTCTGGATTGGTCAGCGCAGGAGGTGCGCAGCTCTGTTGGGCGGAGGGTTAACACAACTTGCTGAAACTGCTCAAGCTGGTCACGTTCAGAGTCAGTGCTGGAAGCGGTAGCTGCGGGACAGACGGGTACAGATGATAGCGTTCAGAGCTTTCGGGGTGTGGTATTGTTTGGAGGTGTAACACACACACAGCTTGAAGTGGGAGGCTGTTGGGGAAGATAAGGTTTTTGATTTTTTTTTTTCCCCTTCTATGCTTTTTCTTCTCCTTCTTGCCTGATTTGGACCTGTTTGGGAGACCAGAAGCATGCTCCTGAGGGGGCTGCGGTGCAGATGGTGGTAGGAGTGCCAACCCCGCCTTTTCTTTGTCTCTTATCTTTTGTGTATGTGTCTTCCAACATCAGTGCAATCCTCTTCCTTTACCCACTCACCACTTAATTCTTGCTTCCTTTTAAGGCGCTCGAATTAGTCCCAAACTTAGATCAGTTCATAACGCACTGCTGAAAATCACTTCACCGTGAGGTACCTAATGAAAGTCTTTTCACGTTCACATGACAAAGATGGTGCGTGTGAAGAAACACTCGTGCCATTTTTGAAGTAATTCTCTCAGATAAGCTGAATGTCATGGAGGAAAGAAAAACACAAACTCTCTTTTATTCATAGGAGCACAGAATTTTGATGTCATCAGACTTTCAACGTATCGAACAGCCTGTAAACTGCGGTTTGTACAAAAAAGATGTAATCGTAAGTTATAATTACTCTTTATCTTCAAAAATCTCTCATGCATGATTGTTTCAAATATTCTACCCATGTGAATTTTACGTACAGCAAGAGTAAGCAAATCAGACAATGGTAGTTGTTACTTAAACTGAACAGAGGTTAAATATATAGTTAAAAAGGAGCAGCAATCTTTGTCCAATACTCTGTAATATCTTCAGTTTGATTCTTGAATGTTTCAAAAATTTAAGATCTACGGGCCAGCTCAAGGTACCTCAGTTGCCCGCAGCGTCGGGCACGGGCAGCCTGGAGCTGTTTGAGCTCCTGTTCCGTCCCTGGGCGCTGCGCCGCGTGGGGCGATGCGCGGTACGGTCACTGCCGTGACAGTGCCAGATCCCGTCGTGGTGGCCGATAGGAAGGGTAGCGACCGTCAGGAGTCCCTCACGTTCAGGCAGTGTAAACGCTCCTGTTCCCTTCCACGGTCCTTTGGCGCTGGGCGCTCACTGAAGCCGGGGTTCACCCGAGGACGGGTAGGGGACACTGCTTGGCGCTCTGGGCCGGTGTTGGGTGGGACGCAGCAGAGAGCGGGACAGGGTGATGCGCAGGGGTAGGTCCTTCCTCCCCGTGGAGCGGAGCTGGTGTGTGGCTGGTGGGGAAGAGGACAGGAGGAGAGCTGGGGGTCCTGCAGGGGACACGTGCCACTGCACGTGCAGCCGGCCCCGGGTGCGGGGGTCGCTCAGGGCTGCTGTGGCAGGGCCTTTAGTTTGATGGGTGGCTTACAGCTTTTCTGTTCCTCTGGAAAAGTGTTGGTTCTTATCCATAAGCCATGCTTTTGAATTAAAAATCCCTCTTAATCAGAGGAGCGGTTTTAAGAAATGCTGATTATTCCTTTGGGCCCGATTCCCCGGTGCCATGCCTGCACCTCGAGTACCTTTGCCGTAGGGGTGTGGGTGGGTGAGGCTGAACGTTTATGTCTTTGTCTGGGCCACAGGGTGATCCGGGGGCATGTGCTTGGTGTGCGCAGGTAGCTTGGCTTTTCTCGTTGTGTGGGATTTACGTGAGAAATATGAAGACGAGATTTATGAAAGAAATGTTAAAGATCACACTCTCACTTCAGACTGTTTTTTGTAAGTTAGGGAAGATAACAGCAGTTGTGGAGTTAGCCAATATGTCTGTCCTTTGTAGCTGTTGGATCACATCCAGGTTGGACCGATGGATTCCTGTTGTCTTCTCCTGCTGTCGCACATATCTTTCCAGCTTTGAAGCATTTTAAAGTGTTATTTAATGTGGTTCTGCAGATGACTTTCTGTGGTTTTGGAAAACTTTTTCTCTACGTTGTTAACACTACTTAGATATGCACTAAGATACAGCAGGGTAATTGAGGGAAGTGCTTTGGAGTTCTAGCCCTCTTTAGAAATTATTATGCTCCGGACTTGGCAACTGGATCAGCTGGCAACAGTCATAGTTTAACTGGAACATCAAGTTCCTCCTTCAACACTCAGCTGGTGGTCAGCATGAGAATGTTCAAAGTTATTGTAACCGGTTTGCGGTGGATTTAGCATATGGCTGCCGTCTTTCTCTGATGGGAATACCCGACTCGGCTAAAACGCACTGCGTGGTGACGGAGGATCGCTTTTCTCCTCTGTGAAGCTTGTCTGTCAGAGCACCCAGATGGTGAAGGCTGGAATAAAAGGCACACGAGATGTCTGGGCACTGCTCTGTTACTTTAAACTAGCTGACATGAACTATGAGTGTGAATATCAAGAGTCTGTCTCTCACTTTGAATACAAATAAGTACCTGTTCATTCCAAACTAAAAGCTAACGTAGTGTTTGGAAACAGTACCGTAAAAGTAAGCTTGCATGTGTTACAGAATAGAAGTTAATTTTTTTTCCTTTATTTTTAGTTCATCTTGTTGATATCTGGAATATGATTGAAGCCTTCCGAGATAATGGCCTTAACACTTTGGATCATAACACAGAGATCAACGTGTCTCGACTAGAAACAATCATTTCATCCATCTACTACCAGCTAAACAAACGCCTTCCTTCTACTCACCAAATCAGTGTAGAGCAATCCATCAGCCTCCTCCTCAACTTCATGATAGCAGCGTATGACAGGCTAGTAACTCCTCTAGTTGTATTCTTAAACTAATTTTCTCTTTTCCTTAGATGGATGCAGCCAACAAGTGCATGAGCCTCCGGCAAACCGCCCGCCTGCTATTTCTCAAGTTCATGAAATGGTGTGTTGCACGCACACACGTGTATTTAAGGTCATAGTAGGGCCTGCGGAGATTTGCGCTGCCACAGCAGCAGTGCTTTGTCTTTAAAAACTGCTGTCTTGAGAAAGATGAGTGAGTGCCTCCTGCAACTCGCAGGCTGCTGTAAGCCGCGTGTCTGAACGGGAGGTGAAGTGAAACTGTGTTCTGCGGACTGTGGTAGAACATAACGTTAACCTCGTGGTGGTATAGCGCTGTTTTAAAAAGTGAAAGTGTTTTACTCAATTTGATCCACGAAACCGTTTTATAATGCTCCCTTGTTTTAGCAGCTTGCGTCCCATTCCAACGTGCTGTGACCCCATAAAGGCTAATTCTCATGTCTTGGCTGGAAGAAGCTTGGGTTCTGGTTCAGGGAGCTCTCTAGGCATCTCCTTGTGTCCAGTTTCATGAGTTTCTTTCACAGCCTCTTTCTTCAGTGCTCGGTCTGCTAGTCTTCTGGAGTCAATGTGTCTCTGGGTTCTCTGAGTAGCAACCACAAATCTTTCACTGATGTTTAGCTCTTCTTACTTTTTGTCTTGCCTTTCTCACAATCACTCTTCTCTTTCTGCTTTCACCCTCTCTCCTCGCAGTAGAGAACTGCTTGTGGCCGGGATGCTGTCACAGAGGCTGAGGAGTTTTACCCAAGACAATCTGAAACACTGAATACACCAGATAGTTGTTCTGTTTGTAATGTCAGGCTTTTTTCCTGATGTGACTGCTTCTTACTGTCACCCAGCAGAAGCTAGGTTTCCCCCGACAGAAGTCCAAGATTTCAGAACAATCCCTATCTCACTAAGGGCGGATAAAACCAACACAAAGCTCAGAGGGGGAAGACCGTTACGACAACAGAATTGAATGTGTATTTTTCTATTTAGTTCTGCTTTGGGATTAGTTGTGAGCCAAGTTGTAAAGGTTAGGTGATGGGTTTAGTTATTCTGAGACAGATCACACTAGAAAATACAAAAGTGTCCGTGCTTTGGGGAGCTGGCTCAAAAGACTGAGGCTGTAGTTACAGATGTGGTTTTCCCCCCTGCTGCCCCCAGCCCTGCAAGTTCTGCTCTTTTGGAAGCCGAGCAGCACGTGTGATCCCAGCATGGTGCAGCAGCTTCTCTTTAGCTTGCTCTGGCCCATGGGATTGAGAAAGCTGGGCTGTGGGAGAATCAAGAATAAGAGGCAAGGCAGGGCTGTGGCTCCCTCTCCAGGAGTTCATCAACATGGCAGACATTTATTTAAAAAAAAAAAAAAAAAAAGATAAGACCCTACACCTGTGCTGGAATTGCATCGCTGGGGGAGCTGCCTGGTTGCTTGAATGCACACAGTGCAGTAGCTTCTTGCAACGCGGTGCTGGTGATAGCGTCACCAAGTCGTTGGCTTTCCACCAGACAGGCCCAGGAATCAAAGATCTGACTGGTGTCTTCCCCGTGGAAATACTGGTGTCAGAGCTGATGTAACGCACGTGTGAAAAGTGCTCACACCGAACGCTGCATGGAGACCCGTAGAACACGGCTCGTGGTGCATCAGCGGCGAGTGGTGCGGAGGAGCCGCTGTGGTGTGCTGTTCTTCGCTGCTTTCCCCCGCAGAGCTCTGCATGGGGGTCCGACAGTTTGTTCCTGGTCTGCTTTCCCCAATAGCCCCTCGTGGCTTTCCAGAGTCCTGGTCTCTTGCTGGCACCCCGGAGTAACAGCTCGTTCCTGGCACCCCAGAGTAACAGCTTGTTCCCTGACCCCATTTGATTGTTTCAGAGCAGTCAGGGTTTTATTTCATCATTTCTAGAAGATGCATTTAATTTGACAGCGGGTTCAGTTGCTCCAACTTTTGTCTTTTTAATTGCAGGTATCGACCCACAAAGTATGCTGGTAATAAAGCAGCGTGCGATAAGGGGGAGGGAGAGGATGACCAACGAGTGAGGAAGTGGGTTGGTGAGCCAAGGGTGGAGTGCTGTGACTAGGAGGAGCCCCGCAATGAGCACAGCGGAGCTGGAAGGGGCTCGCTCCAGGCGTGTGCGTGTCTGTAAGGAGACGCCGAGGGACCAGCACCGTGCTCGGAGCTCTCGTGCCTTGTCTGGGAAGGCAGCGTGAGCCGGTGCCCCTCTGAGGGGCACGGGGAGCAAACGGGAGGAGTTCGAGGCTGATCCCGCTAGAGGGGACGTGGTGGGGCAGCTGCCGCAACTGGAGCGCTGCCGCGGGCTCTTTCGGGGGGCCGGACGGGGAGGGGGAGCTGCCCTTTGCGTGGGAGAGCGGCTGGAGCGCGTGGGGCTCTGCCTGGGGACGGGTGCTGAGCCAGCTGGGAGGTCGAGTCGGGGTTAGCGGGCAGACTGACGTGGGCATCGCTGCGGCGGGCGTCTGCCACGGACCGCCTGGTGAGGAGGGCGCAGGATGCGGCTCTGCAGGCAACCGGGGGAAGCCTCGTGTACACAGGCCCGGTCTTTTTTAAACCACTTCTGTCTCCGATCCTGAGAACTCCCGATTGTCACAGGAGTTTCAAAATCCTATGGGAAGTTCTGCCCTTTTTCCTTTTGGTGGGGAGCTCGGCAGATTGAACAGCATTGCTACAGAAATAGATTTTGGCAAGTTGCTTAATAACTACACCTCTACCGGACTGCAGGGGGAGGAGTTTGGGGTTTTTTCTTGATTAATAGACAGAATGTCAGCAGAAGCAGTTCTAATATCTGGAGGCACCATCAAATACCTTTGCAAGGATGCGTTTGTGAGGAGATATGGATGGCTTTAATCCCTTTTTTTTTTCCTGGAAATTAATTCAAAGCTGACCTCTCTTTTGAGAGAAAATGAATGTCTGTTGAAAAGAAAAGGGGGGGGTTGGGGGCGCTGAGACTCTGACTGGAGGAGACTTGAATTGGTGAGTAACACTTCTTCAGATAAAAGTGGAGGTCAAGGCTTGGAGGATGAACTTTTCAGACCACCAATTTCAGATGGAGTCAAATCTGTCTCTTTTTTTTTGACACACAGAGGGAGTGCCAACTTATTCCTTTGAGAAAGCTCTCTGAGAGAAAACACAGAAACAAAATACGGTAGCTGAGATCTTTACCTTGTTGCTAACTTTATAGCCTTTATATAGCTTGAAATAAATATCTGATATGTTTAGTTTTCTCCCCTTGTTTAGTTTCTTCAAACAGTGGTTTAAAGAGTACTGGATACCCACAAAGTGATGGCCTTTGAATCACCATTCCTCTTCACAGATCTTCCTGCAGCTGTAGCTCTAGGAGAGATTGCCTCTCTTCTGTAGAGGGGATGTTTGAAAGACACTCTTGAGGCTGTGTTACAGAAACAGCGTGCTATACTTCAGGTACTTCTCAGCCTGAGAAAGGTTGAGAGCCTTTACCTCACCGTGGAGTGTGAGATGTTACCAGAGGATAACATTTGCATGTTAACTCTGGGTGTGAAAGGGGGAAAAAGTTACTTGGTTACTTCCCAATGTCTCCATCTGGTTCCTTGTCCGTCATTGACATCAGCCCTTGTCGCTACTTCAGTACCATCAGCCAATATTTACGTCGAATAATTCTACTCTTAACGCTTTCCAAGTGCTAGTCAGCCGAGTGCAGATGTTAGATGTGCATCTTGCTTCCACTGAGCAGTATTCTGGAGTTTTTCTAGATCTCTTCCAACACTCACCATGTATTTTCCCCGTGATAGTACAAATCATCTGTCCAATACGTTTCATTACAGTTGCTTGAACTTATTTTAATTCTTTTTCTCTTTTATATGTGACTTTCACTGTCTTGGTGGCTTATCGCTCTGTACCGCTGTTGCTGTTCGGAGTTAAGGATAGTGACTCAGTACACTTCTGCTTGGCAGTGAGTTGCTCAGGATTCCAACAGCTTTTACCCCCGTTCACACGCATTTCCTTTGCCCTAAACCACCTTTCAAACAGCTTCACGGTACCGGTGGGTTTACACTGACATCTCCACGCTGTGGCCGTCTTAATATCCCGTGTCGGAGGTTGATTGGCTCCTGTCTATTGCTGTGAAAGGCAGAGGTGGAGGAGGTGGGACGCGTGCCATGGGCCGGCACTCAGCTGGGAGACCCTTGCTGCCACCCGCTGCGCTGTGCTTTAACCCAGCAAGCCGCCTTCTGTGGTTCTGGTGGCTTAATGCCCTCACAATTTCATCCTTCCCTTTCTTTCTGGTAGCGGGAACGACACGTGTCGCTGTTCCCACGTATCACACTGCGCCGAACGGGCTTTTTCATACGTTCCGTGGAGACAAACTCATTTCTTTGCTGATGCTAGAAAATGATTCCCCGAATGTGCCATCTGTTCTGATAGCACAGCAGCTTTGTTAACTTAAATTAGAATAAAACATTTCTGTTCCGTTATTCCTGTTCCGTGTGATATATTCAGGGTATCGTACAGCTTCTCTGTTAGCCATCAATTCCTGTGCTGTTTTTAGAATGAAATGTGTATTTGAACATCAGAGTTTAAATCAAGGAGTAAAAATTTAAAGCAACTGACAAAGTGTAGCAGAGGAAAAAATCCAATGTTTTATTGTAAACGGATGTATTTTAATGGAAAGAGTTAATTACCAAGTTACTTTTCTATAGGGCAGTTATGGGATGAACAAGACAAACGGTTGTCTCTTTACCTGTGCATTTTCTGCGAGAAAATTTGATTTGTGATTAGACACTTGTTAACTCTTCTGACATATTAAAAATGTTGGGTTTGCCACGGCTTTAGTGTTCTATTAAATAGTTTTGGCAGATCTTAGTAGTTATTGGCGGGCATTTATGCATTGCCTTCCTAGGCCTCGAGTATTGCTGTTACTCATCACCCTGCATGGTAATTACTGACCGTGTCGTTTTTGTTCGCAGTGAGGGCCATGGGAAGCTGACGGTCTTTTCGGTGAAAGCCATGCTGGCAACCATGTGTGGCGGTAAAATACTGGACAAGCTGAGATGTAAGTATTTTCAAGCAAATCAAACCGTTTTGGTGCTGTTACCGGCTACGTGTGTTTTACCGGGTTAACTTGGGCAAGCTGCCTTTTCTGCTGGTTCAGCGGTCTGTACCCCGAAAGGAGGCTTGGGGGCGGATGGCTTGGTTCCACATGCCATCTGCTGGCCACCAGGCGCAGCGGGTTTGCCGCGCAGCGGGCTTTCCAAGTGCAGGGCTTGGGTTTGAGGGGCTGCGGCACTCCTTTAAGGGTAAAGCTTCAGGTCTGACGGGTCCGATAGTCATGTCCGATTTGTTGCCGTTTCCCCTGTTTTGAGGGCGTCGGGTGGCTTCTGTATATCTTCTGCTTCATCTGAGGTGCGCTCTGCATCTTCTCGTTGTGTAACTCCAGCTTCTCAGTTCGTATTTTTAACTCTTCTTTTTACTCTCTTCTCATCAATCTTGCTGCCTTTTTCTCTTGTTTCCATGAGCCTCCTGCTGTATCAGCAGAGAACCAGCGATATCCATAAACGTGGTTTGTCCTTTAGCAGTAATTCTTGTTCGTCTCTCTCTCTTACTAGGAAGGTGGTGTTAGGGGTGAGTTTTCTTTCCACTTCCACCCTGAAGAGCTGGAAGTTAATCTCGCTGTCAGTGCCAGATTTTACTGTTCAGGTCTTGTTTTCACCTCACCCTAACTTCCCTTTGTGAAAGTTATCTTGTAGTAAGTCATTCCTCCTCATCTCCGTGGTTGTCATTGGCTGCAAATGATTCTCTAGGCTTGCCTTCATCATTAAGCTTCTTTATTATAGTTGCTTTAGAACTAGCAGCGTGAAATACTAGTGTGCTGAATTAAACCACGTGGCAGGGTCTGAAAAATAGAGTGTTTAATGAGTGCATTACCTCTGTAAAAGATGCAAAATCAAATACTGGGAGAAAAAGAGACTAGATGTCCTCAGTAGAAGGTTACATTTTGGATTTAAGGAGGAGAAGGTTTGAGGAGGTTACAGCAGTTGGGCAGTTCAGCACAGGCCCAGGATGGAAAAGGAGCGTTGCTTCTAGAATCACCAAGACCACACTGAAACACGCCAAGAAAATGGCCGTGGGAGCTTTTAGTGGAAAAGGTGATTAACCTCTGGAATGAACTGTTACAGGAATCCATAAACTTCCGATGTTTTCAGAGACCTAGATACCCTTCTGGGAGTTACATTAAGCCTCGAGTTACTGATCCAGGAGGTGGCTAGTTGAGGTGCTCTCGCCTTAAGGACGCCTCATTTCTTAGTCCTATATAACGGGTGTGGTTAGTCTTGACATTTGTGCATTTAATGTACTGTTCTCTCTCTGTGGCTGCTTCTCTTCATAGCATTGGAAGGTTCCTTTTTCCTTTTTCTTATTCTGTTGGCTCCTGTTTCCTTCTCACTGTAACATTCTTCTTTATAAAAGTTCTTAACTGAGGTCCATCCACGTTGGAGGACAGGCTTTTGACAGCTTTCACGGAATAATGCCGCTGCTTGGAGCTTTGTCATATTCTGATTGTCCTGCCTTTTACTTGCTCTTGCCTTAT